CTCTCTTGCTCTTTCTCCCCCCCCCCCCCCCGTCTCTCCCTCTCTCCGATCTTCTGCTCACCTGGCAAGCTGGCTTCAAGCTCTTCTCCAACAAGCTGACACACATTCTTATTGGGCTGGCTCTCTCCTGCCCTTCTTGCTTCCTGCAGAGACGCAGCAAAGGGAGGAGCCCCGTCCAATAGCTTGTCAGCTCGTTGGAGGACAGCGTGAGGCCACTCTCTTTTTTATACAGAGAGAGAGAGAAGGGAAGGGAAGCACAAGTGCCTCTCACTGTCTCTCTCTTTTTCTGCAAATGGTAGTGGAGGCTGGGAACTGCAGGAGAAGGCTCAAAGAGCCACATGCAGCTCCGGAGCCGCGGGTTGCCGACCTGTGGACTAGAGTTTGGTTTTTACTCTCAAAGGCTACAATTTTCTCAGTATTATAGGAGTTACAATTCCAAAACATTTGTGTTGAGCCAGGCTGTGAATGGATTCAAAGAAAATATTAGTACAGGTGGTCCTTGTATTATGATGGCAACTGGGATTTGAATTTCCATCACTAAACAATGTGGTCATGAAACACAATAATATGTGGCCGCACCACTTAATGATGGCAATCCCTGCACCCACTGCCATTACTAAGTGAGGATCATGGGTCAGTAGGTGAGTATTTCCTTCCTGCCAGATTTCAACAACCAAAGGCAATGGGGAAGCCGGCAGGAAATTCCAGGTGACTTTGAAGTAGGCTGGGAGGCAGGTAAGTGGCTGCCGTTGAGGGTGCACAAGTGGTGAGGGAGGCACAATCTCAACAAGGTTTGGCAACAATCTGTAAGTGACTGGAGAGGTTGCACAAGTGGCTGAGGAGGCACAGTGTGAGGTTCAGGAGGGTGCACAAAGGTGTACAGGTGGCAGATGGCGTGCAGAGGGCCTGAGGGGGATGCACAGGTGTGAGAAACTTATCCAGGTAAATTGTGATCTTCTCTGCCCGCTTCCCCATTGACTTTGCTTATGGGAAGCCAGCGAGAAAGATTGCATATTGCAGTCACATGATTGCAGGATACTGCAACCATTGTAAATGCAAGCTTGTTGCCAAGTGCCTAGATTGTGATCATTTGACTATAGGACGTGTGCGTGTGTGCTAGGATGGCCAGAACTTCAAAAAACATTTGTAAGCATCAGTAATCCAGCATAGTTGTAACTGCAGGCAGTCATGAACAAGTGATTGTTAACCAAGTAACTAACAGTACACTAGGTATTTCCAATTTCCCATTATTATTTCCCCTATAATGACATAACACAAGTTGAAGTGCACATTATTATAACAGGACAGACATGAGTTTTTTATTTTTAATAGCAACCTCATATTTGTAGAGATTCTCCTTAATCATTAATGCTGTCTTTTCTGTGGAAGTTTTCCCTTTTTAGGGTTGCTTATAGTTGTATGCATTCCATGATGACTTTAATATTTACAGTAGTTTTGTATTTTATTTTTTTTTGTAAAATTATGCAATTTATAATGAGGCATATGAATAGGATATCATATTTGGTATTATATTTGTGTGTTTGCACTTGCATATATGAACATCACAATGAAATTTACTGCATGGATATTCACTACAATTATCTCTGCAACTTACTGATTAAAATCTGGTTATCCCATGTCAGCCCCCTATATATTGTGTTCTGGAAATCTTCTTCGTCCTTGACATTAAAGATAGGACTTTCTAGTGCAACAGAAACACTCCATAAATGCCCTTCCTGCATTGTGTTATGATTGCCCTTCCTGCATTGTGTTATGATTGCCCTTTGTATTATGATTGCCCTTTGTATTGATACTGCCATTGTTCCGCTTATCCTTCAGTGCCATAAATTGTTATGTAAGCACCATATGCCAATCTCAATTGCTCATTTAACTGGTGAACAATCTAGTTAGTATATTCACAGGGAGACTTCTTTCTGTCTGGGGAGCACTCTGCCTTGATTAAAATTTTTGATGGATGATGAATGACTTACGTTTGGATTAACTTGAAGGATGGTTTAAAGGCTTCTAGATTTTAATTGGCTATTAGGATTTAGCATTTTTTACAGTTTAATGCACAGATGTCCATTTTTTTATTTCAGGGATCTTGAGCTAAACTACACTTAGTAAGAACTAAAAATCTATTTATGAAAATATCCTTTGAGGTGCTAGGCATGTTTCTAGTAGCAAAATAGTCAAATTAATTTTATGTATTATGACAAAATCCTTTAAATAAGATAAATTTGTGCTGTAAAAATCAGTATGTCTCTGTTACTGGGCATTGGTTAATAATGATAACTTCATTTCTATTTCTTTTATTTTTGTATTCAATTTATAAGCATCATAAATTGTCCAAGCAATTTTAGGAATGTACAACATGAAACAAAACAAGGAGTAAACATAAAAGTAAAAAACTATAGAATTATATTGGGAGTAGAGAGGGTAACAGCTAAGGAATAAAATCCTGATTTCAACTCAGGATTCCAAATGACTTGTTCCAGAGCCAATGGAAAGAATTTCAGTGAAGGACTTTCCTAAACAATTGCAACAGGTTAGGCCTTTGTACACTTCAAGAGATAGGGTACTATCCTATAGAGCAAGTATGGTCACAGAAGAACATGTCTTCAAACCCCCACAAGATTATTGTTTAATGATGGCATGGAGCAGGCCCACATTATAAGATCTAATAGAGTGGGCAGACATACCTGAAGAGAGGTAGTTCCACAAATAAGCAGGCCCTAAGCTCTGCAAGTCTTCCTAACCAGCACCTTGAATTTTGCCCAGAAGCCTATTGGCAATTAGTGCAGCTGAACCAAAGTGTACTCAGAACCACTTACACTGATGCATTCTGGACCAAGTGTAGCCTCTTGACTCGTTTTCAAAAGCAGCCTTACACATAGTGCATTGCAAGAGTTCAACCATAAAGCATACATGATCAGAAAGGGGACCTTCCAATCTGCAAAAGGGTATAAATGATAAGCAAAATTGCTCTATAGAAAAGCCCTTCTGACTGGAGCTGCTAACTACTCTTTGAGCAAGAGTCAAGTGTAGGAGAAGCCCCAACTACACAGCAGCAGTTCCGTCTGGGGAACTGCAATTCCATCAAGAACTGAAGTTGGAATAGCTTCTGGAAATGGGGAACCCTTGAATTTACAGTCAATTAATCTAGCTAGGCTTGAGCCCAAGCTTGTTTTTCTCCTTTCAGTCATTAACAAGAGGACACTGAGACAGGACTTGGATAGTATTTCATGGTTATCTTGGGTTCAGGACGGTGGGATATCTTCTGCATAGGGATGAAATCTGACTCAGTACTTGCACTTGTAGAAATAATATACAAGAAGTCCTACAAACAAAGGGTCTCAGGCTTGATTTCTTCCTCCACCATTTGGAAATGACCTGGAGAAAGGAGGCGATCCACTGCCAGACAGTATTGCGACATCCAGTTCTAAAGATGAGCCAGAAGAATGCCACAGTCATATTATCAGGTGTCACACAGATCAAGCAAGACCTGAAGAGTTAAACCCCTTCTAGCTCAGTGTTGTGAGAGGTTGTCAACAAGCACATTCTGTTTGCAGTTATGATTTAAAACAAAAAACCCTTGTTTTGTATTCATGCAGAAATTGAAATGTTCCATTCTTAATAGTTATTAGCTACCATGTTCAGAAAAGAACAATTCTGGAATCTCTGTTAATACTTTGTTTAATTTTATTTTTTAGGTCTACTTCAGGATTCGGACCATCCCTATAGTAGATACGAGAATGAATGAAAAATAGCACATTCTCGTTGCACCAAATTTGTAAATACATGTTCAGTAAAACCTAATGTTTATCTTGATTTTTTCCCCTCCTCCTTTTTGGAAACAACAATATTATATTTGCATCTAATGATTCTAGTTTAAAAATGCTTCAGGTTTTTTTTTCCCCTATAGAAAAAAAACCTGGAGGAGTGAAGTTTGAGATGCAGAAACAGTTTAATTTTCTTAAACATCACAGACTTTTGGGGGGAGGGGGAAAACCAATTCTGTCATCTTTTCCATGCTGCTAAATAAAGAGACTCTTTAAATCTGTGTCAAGTAGGTGTTGGCAAGTATTTGACACTGCAGAGGTGAGGTTATCACATAATCATAGCTTACACCATCTTCATGTTAATAGAATACAAAGGGTGTAAGTGAAAGAAACTGTCACTAGGCAGTGACCTTAACTGAATGAATGTGATCTGGTGCTTCTGGCTAGCCGGTACCTTCCGCACCATCAGATCCTTAAATATGGCATCTTAATCACTGCAGCCTGCCATTGTCTCATGTTAAAGTTCTTCAAAACTGCTTTTTCCAGTCTTTAAACATCTTGATTGCAATCCCTGATCCATTGTACTTAAGGCGAGACCACTGAAATTAACACTTGACTTTAAAAAAAGAAAGTTTAAAAAGATAGTAAAATCTGCAGTATTATATCAAAAACCTGTTAGCTATTTAGGTATGTATTAAGAGCTTTTCGTTTTAATCTCTGTACGTTCATAGATTGTGTTGAAAAGCCTTGTTCTTAATTCATTCCTCAAGCAATTATCTATCTACTTTTTCTAATAATGTACAAGATTTATCTATTTACTTTTTCTAATGTACAAACTTTTTGTATCTATTTCTGTCTGTATATAATCATACCTAACATCTATCAAAGCAGATATTTCCAGTGTATTGTTACTGTATAAATAATTAAAATAGAGCTATTAAATAGTAACTGTTAACTGTACTGTGCTTCAGACTTGAAGAGAAGAAAGTGCTTTGAAGCTTATGGATGTTCCTGTTCGGAGCTTTTCAGACTAATTGTGTATTTTGTGTGGATCATGCAGATAGCCTCCAGAACCACACCAGGATCCCAGAGTGGATCTCTTTGCTTTTAGGAACAGTTAAGTAGTATATTTTTCCTTTCACATCTGAAGCACAGCATAGCTGCTTTATTCAGATATTCATAGTTTAAACTGCTTTTTTAAAACTGTTTTTCTTAAGCAGGGAAGAAAAATGATCTAATAAGGACTGAAGTTGCTTCATAGTGAATATTACATAGCAATTTGGAAATGTGGGAAGTAGGGGATTCAGTAGAATACTTTCTTTTTCAGAAGAACATGCTATAACATTTTATTGTGGGTAACATTCCTCTTCTGTATTTAACAAGCCTACAGACTTTGTCATGTCATTACACAGCTGAAGTTCCCTAAACAAAACTCTGAAAACTAGGGCTCGCTAATCTTAACATTCATTATGAACATGTGATTTTCAGGAATAGCTCACCACAGTTTTCCCATATCAAATTTGCTTTGCAGAGTTGATGGTCTTTCAGAAATAGTGTGAAAAGGAGCATGTTGAGCCAAAGGAAGAGCAGTCTTGTACTATTAACTGAAGCTTTCACCCAATCAAATACAGGGTAAAGCCATTAGTGAGACCTAATAGATCAATTGTGTATTTCCACCTGGGTGCAACATCAAATTAAGCTAGAGCAATAGGCACTTACTACTTAATCAACTTTTTTTGGTATGTAGAGGAAAGTAGAGACATACCAACCAAAATTGTTTGTAAAGCAATTTGAAATAATGTGGTTGGTTTATCTTTCACCTTATTTAAACCAGATTCATGATTTTTGAGAACTTACAGCTTTGGATACTATTTCTGTAGTGAGTTCTCACTGGAGATATCTTGTGAAACTGGAAACTGCATGCGATGTGAAAATATTTTTTATTAGATCTGAACAGTTAATTGGACTGCTAGCAACTTCTCTTAAGTATCTGATGGGTAAACATTTATTTGAGCCTACTTTGTGAATGATTAATGTGAAAATGTAATTGCACCTTATGCTCTTAATTCCCATATTAGCCTTGCTGTTCAGTATTCCCCCTTCTCTGGACAAACATCTATGTAGATTATCTCAGGATAATAATTTGTGAATTCATCAAGGATGAGAGATCATGAAAAATTTGCCTCAATAAATTAAGAAGATGCATAAAGTTTTAGGTTTTGTACCTAGATATGATATATGTACAACTGAAGGATATCTTTCCGTGTTTTCTAATTCACATGAATATTGCATTAATTTAAAAAAATCACTTAGTGTATTGTACTTTATTTAATTGTTTATCTTCATGTTTTACCATGTTTAATTTTGTAGTTTGTATGTTGTTATGTTTGCAAATATGGATTATCAATATAATAAACAAATTAAGGATATGGTTCTGCCTATGTTTATGTTGAACTGAATCAGTTGATTGAATCTTGAATTCTATTTTATCCATGGGGGAAAACCAGAACAACTCATAGCTATAGAGGCTTCTGCTGACAGAAGGAAATTTAGAAGAAGTGATTGATTCCACCTTCAGAAATCTTCTATACTGCCTCTCTCCTCATAGCGAAGTGTCCCCAATCCTGTGGAACCCATCACCTTTTTGTCAGTTTGCAATTTCTTCCAGGTTAATGTATTTTGTGTCATAGTGGTTATATTCAGTATTCTAAAATACAGAACCTTAGATGAAGAAAGTGGGCTAAATGTTCTTGGTAAAAGAACGCAAAATAAACAGGTAGTCCTCATTTACAACGGTCAGTTAGTGACCATTTCAAAATGGGTGCTTTATAGCCCATAAAAACTTTTCTGGTCATTGTAAAATATTGCAACAATCCCCCCTTGGTCACATGACTGTATTTTGGGTGCTTGCCAATTGGCTTGCCTTTATTGCTGTTTGCTACATCTCATAATCATGTGACCCTGATTTGCCACATTTTAGCCAGTTTTGGCAAAAACGCATATTTGGAAGAATGAGTTCACACTAATGACTGTGGCATTTGCTTAAGGACTGTGGATTCACTTAATGGCTGCAATGGTTTACTTAATGACCATGGATTTGCTTAATGACTGCAGTTTGTTGCTTCATCATTGCCGCAAAAAATGTAAAATTGGGCCACTCGTGGGTCCTTGACTTATGATCAAAATGACTCAGAATCAGAAATACAGTCATTAATCAAGTACTATCTATACTTCAATATTGGGAAATGCTTAAGAATTTCTTATAGAGGAAAAATAGCTTATAATCAAGCAATGAGAATACTGTGTTTCAAATTGTTGCATAAGCTGATGTTGCCTGAGGGAAGATGGAAATGTTGAGTTTCCAAGTCAGACAAAAATAGCACGTCTGATTTGGTTAAGGGCATAGTTTTGTCACTAATTCATCGACTGAGTTACAGCAGCTAGGATTAATATGTTGCAAAGATAGGGAAATGGTAGCTTAGATTTTTTTTACATACCTTTCAAACTAGCAATTAGCTATGTAATATTGTCTTACTCATTCTTACTTGCTGAGCAGCACATGAACAGCATGGGGAAATAGTCACAGCTATTCTTGCAGACACCGTAAAAATTGTTCAGTACTATCTTCTAAGTATTCCCTTCTAAACATGCACAAAATGGTGATTTATAAGAATTAGCTATCTTTAGCCTGTATACAAACTTGCAATGTATGTTTGAATTCTTTCCCAAAATTAATTTTTAAAAAAAGGTATTTTTCAAATCACAATTGCCTGTGCCACGTTCCCTAGAATTGGACAGGAAGTTTACGAACACTAATGACCAAAGGCAGCCATTTCCTGTAGTTCATGCCAATGTATAAACAGCCTTTTTTAGGGGCCTTCTCCAAGTTGGTTTTCTAAGAAGATGCTCTCTTTCCTGATCTCTCCGTTCCTGGTGACTGCCTCGACAAATCTGTGCAGTTTTCTTGAGAGCATTTTGGAAGTGACTTGCTCCTGCCTGCTTCCTAGGGCTGTGAAAAGTTAGTGATGCAAGTTCACCATCTGACTTCGTGTCTAAGAAAGGACTGGGTTTCATAGCCCCTTCCCCCTCTTTTCTGGCCTTTTGCTTTAACCACTGAGCCAAACAGGCTCTTGGGATGTTGAAAATTTAATAACTATTTCCTAGCATGATAACTTTTACAGGCATCTGGAAGGTGAGAGATTAAGAAATGCTATAGTAGGAGCTACTAAAAATGTTATTTCAAAAGAAGTATTTTGCTTGCATCTCGTTATAGGGATAAAAAAAAAATCTAGGAAGCAATTGCTAGTCAATATAGACAATGCAAAGATTGGTGGCTTAGCTGGACTAGTCCAACTCAATATGCCAGTTCCCTATTTTCACACATCCCCTTTTGGAAACAGTATTGAAACATCTACAATCCTTGACTTAAAACCATTCATTCAGTGACTGTTCAAAGTTAAGATGATGATGAACGAGGGACTTACAACTTGTATCCAATGTTATGGCCATTGCAATGACTCTCCCATAGTCAAGTAATTACAATCTGGGCACTTGGCAACCTGTTCATATTTATGATCTCTCAATTTCAGAAGCCTCTTGACTCTGCAGCTGAAGATCCAAGTGGTTCTGAGGCCTTTGTACAATCTGACCTTCCTACGCACTTTCTTGCTTCCTCCCCCCACCAGCTTGGAAGTTCCTGATGCATCCCCTCTGACTTCATTGTAGGAAGCCAGCAGGAAGCTGTTGCACCTAACTAAGTGAAGTCAGCATTCACTCAGTGACAGCAACTGGGACTAACTGGATTGCCATTGCTAAGCAAAAAAAGTTGCGCTTTATCACTTAACAACAAAAATTTCTGGTCTCAATTGGGATTGTAAATTGAGGACTTACCTGTACCCCAAATTATCAATCATCTTATTTACAGCAAGGATGATCTGTGAGTTTCATAAAATGTACCAAAGGAAAGGAAAACAATCAGTTTCAATGAAAAAAACTGAATATGAATAAAACCATTTTTAAAGAGCGTGGCCACCTCATTTATAAACATTGAAGGTCA